CACCCATATTAGCATTCCTAATTATTACAAAGGAATTCCTTTGGAGCTATCACTATCCACTCTTACAAACATTGATTATTATAAGCAATATTACAAAGAACATATTCTAGCTAAATTGTATACTATTCTTCAATTTCTATTAATTTAAAATGCAAGAAAATTGCTAAACCTTTCTTAGATGTGTCTAAATAAATGATATTTCATATGACAGTAGAAGATTTCCTCTTCTAATTAAATCAGTCAGTATAAACTTTATCTTTAGGCACTTTTCTGCCCTGTTGGTAAATTACGTATATAGTTCATCCACTTACCCAAGCTGTAGTTGGGATACAGCCAACACTCAATGCATATTTGCTAGATAATCATATGAATAGAAAGAAGTTCCCACAAAAAGTTTGTGGGAAAATTCCATTTTCTCTTAATTCCACTTTTGCATACACTTTTTATTTATAAACAGTCTTATTGAACATAATCCAAATATCATACAACTCAATAGTGCAGTTATACAAAGAAAGGTTGTGCAATCAGTACTCCAGTCATTTTTAGGGCATTTTTTTTCTGTACTCCTTGTTATAAGCTCCCCATTTTCCCCCAACTTCCCTTGCCATCTCCCTGAGGAACCATACATCTACTCACTGTCTCTAGGGACTCGCCCATTCTCGATTGCATACACCAAAAACATACAAAACAGTTTAAAAGTTAACAACAACAGCAAAATAAAATAGAGAAAAAATCCAGTTGGAAAGAAAACAGAAAATATTAAAAGCTAGAACAACTTTTTTTGAAGCTTCTTTGAAAATAGTTTTATTTTTTTTGCTTTATAAATCTATAAGAAAAGGGTATGATTTAGATTGAAGCACGGTATAAAGTTTGAAATAACCTTCCACCTATTTTTTCTCTTGTGGTAATTCAGATCTAAAGTTATTAGGATTGAGAGCCAGGTTGAAAGGGCAGGAAGCACCACTGTGTGGTGATGGATAGTCTTACTTGCACATACTGCAACTGGATAAAAAGCAGTGTTACACCCTTATTTGTGCAAACTTATACCAAATGGCATTAAGGTCAAGGTACTGACATGAACTGTACATTTATTTCAGTTTATTTGGGAATCTAAGGATGAAAAAACATCCTACAATATAGAAATCATATGTACCCTTTGAGACTAATTGTGTGGTTGGAACAAGTAAATTACCATTTTCAGAATTTACTGTCTCTGAAAGTGGAGTCTACCCATCATCTAACCAGCATCACTGGAAGGGTCCCCTCTCTCTCTCCTCTATTATAGTAGGATAGAACTGCCCCTGTGAGTTTCTGAGATGGTAAATGTTTATAGGAGTAAAAAGCCCCATCTTTCTCCCAAGGCATGGCTGTGGTATTGAACTACTGACCCTGTGGCTAGCAGCTCAACACATAACCACTAGGCTAGCATGGCTTCCCAGAAGGAACCTAGGATTCTGCTTATAATAAACACCCAAAGTACTTCATGTGCACATGCACTGGATAACTTTTCTTTAGAATAAGCTTACAAGGTATTGTTTGAGAAAGTTAGATTCACAGCTTATGTAAATTGCTAAATTATCATGATACACTAGAGGAGCCCGGGTGGTGGAGTTGTTTCTCTTGGGGCTATGAACCATAACATCAGTGGTTTGAAACCACCATCTGTTTCTCGGGGTTACTATGTGTCAGAATCAACTCACTGGCAGTGAGGGGGTTTTGTTTTGTTTGGGTTATGAAAACAATATACTACGGACTAATGTGAATAAGTTCTTAATATACTGTTCACAGCAAACAAACAAAAGAAAAAAACAAGAGGGAAGATACACTCTGAATATCTTAAACTGAAAGAACTCAAGAAAAAATTCAAGCCCTGAGTTGAAATATTGAAAGATTCTGTAGGCAAAATATTGAATGATTGTGGTAGTTACATAATCTGATGTCAATTTGAGGATTAAGAGTGTAGAGGTGGAGTCTAGCCTGTCACTCAGGATATAGCCAATGTGTGGGCATGGGCTTCTGAGGATTCTGGTAACTCCTATATTCCTCCTTGGAGGCAGGAGACACGTTCTCTCAGCTCACTCCCTGTGAGACATCACTGCAGAGAAGACACATGAAGAGAGACTGATGGAGCCAGACCTCTAGAGCCGGAAAAGCCACGTGGAGACCCCTGCCAGTGCTGAGATGCTTACAACGCCACTGGATCCACAAGACTTCCCACCCACTGGCCTGTGATCTTCCTGCATCCAGCGTCTTTGCCTGTGTTTCATGAGTCTGAAGAGGATGTTATAGATTGGTATCAGACATATGGGCTAATATTGGACTTAAGGACTTGATCTGGCCTAGGTTGTGATGTTTTCTCAATATTCAATTGCTCTTATATATTAAGCTCTTTTGTGTACACATGAGTGTCTGTGAATTGGTTTCTCTAGTCTACCCAGACTAACACAATGATGCATGAAGCATCAAAAGAAGATGGAAAAATTAGAATCACTGTACCAAAAAGGGCAGTGACATTCCACCATTTCAGGAGGTAGCATGTGAGCAAGAACCACTGGTGCTAAAGGAAGAAGTTCAAGCTGCATTGGAAAACAGATGACTTCCAGATGACTGGAAGCAATCCATACTTGTACCCATTCCAAAGAAAGGGGACTCAACTGAAAGCTCAAATTATAGAACAGTGTCATTGATATCACATGCAAGGAAAATTTGGCTGATGATCATCCAACAAGAGTTGCAGAGTACACTGACAAGGAGCTGACAGAGGTTCAAGCTGGATTCAGAAGAGGATGTGGAACAAGGGACATCATTGGTGATGTCAGGTGACTCATGGCTCAAATTAGAGAATACCAGAAAGAGGTTTACTTGTGTTTTATTGACTCTGCCAATGCATTGGACAATGTGGATCATAACAAAGTATGGGAATTCAAGAACACTTCATTGTGCTCATGAGAACTTGTACATGGATGAATGGATGTTTGAATAGAACACAGAAGTACTGCATGGTTTATAATCATGAAAAGTGTGTGTCAGGGTTCTATCCTCTTACCGTACTTATTAAATATGTATGCTAAGCAAATAATCAGAGAAGCTGGATTCTATGAAGAAGAATGTGGTATCAGGATTGGAGGCAGGCTTCTTCACAACCTGAAATATGCAGGTGCCACAAACGTGCTTGTTGAAAGCCAGGAGGACTCGAAGCACTTGCTGAAGATCATCTTTCAGTATGAATTACAATTCAATGTAAAGAAGATCCAAACTTCACAACTCGGCCAATAGGCAACATCTGATAAGTGGAGAAAAGTTTGAAGTTGTCAAAGATTTTTATCTTTGGATCCACAATTGATGCTCATGGAAGCAGTAGTCAAGAGATCAAAAGACTCATTTTTTTGGTCAGTGGTTCTCAACCTTCCTAATGCTGCAACCCTTTAATAGAGTTCCTCATGTTGTGCTGACCCCCCCCCCCAACCATAAAATTATTTTCATTGCTACTTCAGAACTGTAATTTTGCCACTGTTACTCGGGCGAGCCCTGTGAAAGGGTCATTTGACCCCCAAAGGGGTCACAGCCTACAGGTTGAGAACCGCTGACTTAGGTGAATGTTCTGCATATGACCTCTTTCGAGTATTGAAAAGCGAGGATGTTACTTTAAGGACTAAGGTGCATCTGACCCAAGCGATGGTATTTTCAGCTGCCTTTTATGCATGTGAAAGCTGGACAATGAATAATAAAGACTGAAGAAGAATCGATGCATTTGAAGGGTGGTGCTGGAGGAGAATATTGAAAGTATCATGGGCTGCTAAAAGGACAAACCAACCCGTACTGGAAGAAGTAAGGCCAGAGTGCTCCTTGGAGGCAGGGATGACGGGGCTTCATCTCATGTCCTCAGGACCTGTTGTCAGGAGAGAGCTGGCCGGGAGAAGGGCATCGTGTTTGCTAAAGTAGAGGGGCAGCACGAAAACAAGAAGGTCCTTGAGATGGATCGGCTCATTGGCACTCACAAGGGGCTCAAGCACAGGAGCAAATGTGAGGATGGCCCAGGACTAGGCAGTGTTTCCTTCTAGTGTGTGCAGGTCAGAACTGCCCCGGTGGCACATAACAACAGCTCGCATGATCAGAGGAACCCTGGGGGACCTGGTGAGTTCTACACGGGCTCGCGGAGGTCTACAGTTTGATACCAGGAGCTGCTCCACAGGAGAAAGAGGAGGCTTCCTCCTCCATCAGGATGTAACCGCCTCTGCAACCCACAGGGGCTATTGGGCTGGGTCCTCGAAGGTTGCTGTGAGTTGGAATGGACCCCATGGCAGTGACCTTGGTTGGGATTGGGTTATTGATGATGTAGTGGTGAAACCCTCAGATGTTCACTGAAAAGTCAGAACTTGGAATTCACCCGTCGCTTCACTGGAGAAAAGACAGGGTAATCTGCGCCTGTAAAGATTACAGCCCAGGAATCCTGATGTGGCCTTTCTCCTCTATCTCACCGGCATCTGTGTTATTTCTAAAGCAATTGGGTGTGTACACAATTATGAAAAGATTTCAGGGATTTATTTCCAAGCAGAGACACCAAACTAAATATTTTCTGTTTAGATGTTTAAATGGCACAAAAGAAGACTTTGTTTTAAACTTTTATCTCATATTGTACTTTGGACACAGGACTGTTGTCAGGTTGTGCCACACATGCTTAAACTTTCTCTCTCTCTTGCCTTTACAGCACACTTCTTTGATAACATGCTTTTGCGAAGTTCAGGAAAATTAAGTGTGGGCACCAGGAAAGAGGATGGAGAGAGCACAGCTCCCACCCTGCGTCCAAAGATCTTGCGTTGTAAGTGCCACCACCACTGCCCAGAAGACTCAGTCAACAATATCTGCAGGTTGGTGATATTGAGTGATTTAAGCCCAGCCCTCCCAGGCCTCTGTCACTCGCTTTTCCACTGTGGGCTGACGTTTCCAAGAGCACACAGTGGTAAATAGTTCCTAACTCCATTACGTCCCAGAGCGGTGCCTGTATTCAAAGGACTATTAAATGGGTTTTGCCCTGGAGGGATGATCTGGGACTCTTTTTTTCTCCTTCCTCCAACAACATAGCGCAATTTGTCTGCTCCTTGTCAGGGAGCAAAAACGAATTATTTTCTTTGAAAAGGCCTAGTTCCCAAACTTGTTCTTCAGCAGGGAGTGGCATGTATGTCTGACTTCCTTTGTTTTAACCAGTTCTACTGATGGTGTTATTATTTTGGAAAGTTATCGTTAACATGTTAGAATTATTCTTAAACTCACTCTGAGAGAGCGCGTATGTTAGAATGGCTTTGCCATAGTACTAGAGAATAAACTCTTCATTAGGTAATTATGCGTATGTTAATTATGTTACTTATGCTTCTGTAGTTCTGCCTTCTAACACGTGAAAGTGGGCTATTTGCCTCTTTCCTCCTTGCGTTTTGTTCCATCTACTCATTGTCACCCTAAGTATAGCAGAAGGAAGCCCTCCCGGGTGGTGTGTGCGCCCTTGTTAACAGCCACTCGGATAAACCAGAGGTTTGTCTTTCTGCTTTCCTGATGACCTGTGACTTTACCGAACATGATATCCTTCTTTCGGGACTGGTCCCTTCTCATAACATGTATGTAGACCAAGTTCCACTATCCTTGCTTCTAAGAAGAATTTGGGCTGCACATCTTCTATGAGTCAACATTGAACTACTAAGCAAGATGTTGGCGATTCAAACCCTCCAGGCATTACCTAAGAAAGAAGAGGCTATTTGTTCCTGTAAAGATTTACAGTCTTAGAGAACTTGTATAAGGTTGCTATGCATCATAATAGACTTGAGGGTGGTGGATTTGATCTTCTAAGATAGATTATTTGTTCTTGAAATCCAGTGGATGTTAGAATGTAGGTTGATTATTCTTCACCAGCACCATAATTCAAATGCACCCATTTTTGCCTGTCCTTTTTTTATCCATGAATTCCCTTTCTTGGGCACTTTAAAGGTTTTCTGCAGCAGCTTTGACCCATGCAAATACATCATTTGATTTCTTCACTGCTGTTTCCATGGGAGTGGATTGTAGATCCAAGTAAAATGAAATCCTAGGGAACTGTCATCATTTCTTAGCATGATTTGGCTTATTGTCCCAGGTGTGAGGATTTTTGTTTTCTTCCTGTTGAGGTATGATCCATACGGAAGACTGTAGTCATTGACCTCCTTCAGGGAATGCTTTGCTTTCCTCAAGGTCGTGTCATTTGCATATTGCAGTCTTTTAATAAGCCTCCTCCAATCCTGATGTCCTAGTTTTCATGACATAGTTCTAGCTTTTAGAATTATTTGTTCAACTTACAGATAGAATAAATATGACAAAAGGATACAACTCTGACACGCAGCTTTTCCGATTTTTAAGCCACACATCAGTCCCTTGTTCTGTTTGAAGAACTGCGTCTTGCTCTGGGTAGAGGTTCTGCGTGAACACAATGAGGTGTTGTGTTTGTCCCCATCCTTCTCAGTATCATATGGAATTTATTATAACCCACACAGTTGAATGCCTTTGGGTAGCCAATGAAGCACAAGTGAGCATGTTTCTGGTGTTCTCTGCTTTCATAAAATCCACCTGACATCAGTTGTGACATCCCTCATTACACACCTACTCTGACTCTGGGCAAGGTAGGGTTTCCAGCCAAGGTAGACTGGTTCCACAGCCCCAGCTGTTTGTTCTGGGAAGCTGATTTGTAATCGTAAATAGAATGTATTTTCAAGTAATTTCATGGGGGAAATTAGCAAGCAGAAGCCAATTAAGGAGATACAGAATCCCTAATTTCACTATTTTTATTAGCTTCTAAGATTCCTAATTCAGTGGCATTTTATTTGGCCTTTGGTCCTTGTTCAGATCATTCTAAAATACTCCAAGATTCGCAGTGCAAACCCACCAGCTGCTACGAGGCTACCTGCTTCCATAAAAATGAATGGCCTTGGAAACACCATAGAGGGTGACTTTGAGTCAGAATACACTCAGTTATAGTGGATTTGGCTTAGGTTTTTCAGTGGAATATTAAAGAATAAGCAACAGGATAATGGTCTTGAACTTAGACTAGTGGCTAGGGAGAAAGTGTAAAGCAAGAAGAGCACTGGGAAATTTTTGCTGTAAAACATATCTCAGAATCACAATGACAAAACTAAAAAGAGGTTGTTGTTCGTGGGTCTACAAGTAGGCCGCAGCTGTGCTGCACTCTGCTGAGATTGAAGGAACTTGGTGTCAAGCTGCTGGTTGAATCTAATTTTGCTACACATGTTTCTTCATTGTTCTTGTGTTTGGTGACAATCCAAGTATTTTACAGTGATCGGTTGGCATAGACAGAGATCCTGAAGTCATTTCCTTGGGCATTGAACACCGTATGTGTCAGATCAAAGGCATCCCCAGGGTTGGGGGAGAAGGGCCAGCGTGTGTGCAGAGGCACTGGGGAGGTCACTCCAGATAGGGCCATTACCAACCAAGACACCGCACTCCAGTGTGCTTATAAACCTGCTGCTTACAAGCCCCTGCAAGCTATTTTTCTTACCTACGACAGACTTACTCAATTAAACAACTTGTTTCAAGGTAATGATAATCTACCTGAGCCCAGAGAAAATATAAGAGCTGCCAATTCTGTCAGTCCAGACTGGTGAGGACTTGGTCCTCACCAGTGGGAGGGAGAGATTCCAGTGCAAGGATAGAATAACGCACCTTGTCCTCCTCATCAGCTATGCACACAAAGATACCTTTGTCTTCTTCCAGGTCATTAACAACTACATCGTCTTTTCCCTCTTTCACAAGATGCCCAAATCCACTGCCACCAACTTGATTTTAATTCATAGCAACTCGACAGAACAGAGCAGAACTACCCCAAAGGGGTTCTACGGCCGTCAATCTTTGTAGAAGAAGAAGCCCATGCGGTTCTTCCTAGGCGCAGTAGGTGGATTCAAACCCCCAACCTTCTGCTTAGTGCTTGAGCACTGTCTCCACTGTGGCACTAATTCTTGTCACCAGTTCTCCAAGGTGTCCATCATTATTGGCAAGCAAATCATATGTATGGACTTTTTACGAATGACTCTACTTTTTAATTGTTTTATTATTCTTTGAGATATAATTAATAACCATATCTGACTCAGTTTTCCGAATCAAAGAGTTCATTGGCTTGTACTCTACTCATGGGGTTGTTCACCTATCAATACTCTCTAGTTCCCGCACATTTTCACCACCGTAAAATGAAACTGTGGACTTGTCAATAGTCATTCCCATATTTTCTCTCCAAACCACTTCTTAGCAGCCTTTAATCCTTAGCAGCCACACGTCTGCTTTCCGTCACTAAAACTCCCTGCCACTGAGTTGATGCCGACTCATAGTGACCCAATAGGACAGGGTCGCGATTACCTGATAGGACAGGGTCACGATTACCCTCTCCTGTTATCGTTTCAATCCTGAAACTCTTTCTAAGGGTAGAAAGCCCGTCTTGCTCCCACAGAGCTTCTGGTGGTTTCACACCGCTGCCCTGGTTGTTAGCAGCACACTGTAGATCCACTATGCCCCGAGGCTCCTTTCTGTCTCTGTGGATGTGCCTAATCTTACCATTCCTGACCAGGGGGCCATTCAGAAGGTAGCCACTGGTGCCCGCCTTTTTTCCCAAGCCATGCTTTCCAGGCTCATCCAGGAGGCCGCATGTGTCAAGAACTTGATTCCCTTTTCATGACTGATAATAGTCTATCGTACCATTCGACCACCTTTTGTTTGTTCATTCATTGGTTGATGATATTATGGTTGTTTGCACTTTGTGCCAATCATGAAAGCTACTACTGTGAACATGCAAATAATAAGTTTTGTTATAAAAGCCTTTCCTGGTGGTTTTTCACGTTACTCGAATATGTACATACTAACATTCAGTGTAATGAACTGACGCACTCCCTGGAAATAGAATACCTTAAACGTAAAATAGGTTTCTGCATTGGTCAGTGCCGTCAGCATGTACTGAGTGCTAGGTACACATTGCTTGGTCCTGGGAGTTCACAGGAACACGAGACAGAGGGGTCCCTGGCCTCTCCGGGATGCACGGATGGAGCACGGGGAGGAGTGGTAGCTGTGCTCACTGGAGCATCACCGGACACTTGAACCCTCACGAGACAGACGTGAGCGGCCCTCTCCAGCTCCAGGACTGCTACGTCCCCTTCATGTGGTGCTTACATGCAGGGGGAGCTCGGTAGAGGCCTTGCTTAAACCCCAGATCTCTTTCTTACAAAGTGACCTAGACCTCAAGGCTTCCAACCTAAATTGAATGCTATATTACAGCGGTATCCCGTCTGCTAGTCTGCTGCCAACATGGACAGCTCTTGGCACTGGACTGGCTGTCTAGAATGCCAACCATCTTCTGGGGCCTGCCCTGCTCCAGACAGAGCGTGCGTCCCAGTCCAGGTCCGGTTTAGCTCAGGCCTCCTGGGCCAGGGCAGGAGGGCACTCAGCAGAGCTCAGTCTTTCCTCCGCTAGACCAGAACCTCCTGTAAATCGATACTGCCCTGGAACCCCTGTCCCTGCCTCAGCCCTCTTCTATCCCAGCTCCTTAACCTCTCTTGACCTCATTCTTCCTTTCCTGTTGATGGGAATCCCAACCCACCCACAGCGGCCAGAAGACAGGCGTTGGAGAACAATGTCCACAAATATGGGGTCATTCCCAATTGTCTGGGCTAGTGGCTCGGGAAAGGAGGGTCAACTCCTCATGCCCACCTAGTTGTCTCTATGTGTGTGTGTCCGTGGACGATCGATTCTCTCCACTGTGAGGGTGGGAAAGGCACCCCGGGGAGGCAGTGGTGACCTGGCCTTGACACCAACCAGAACAGCTGCTCTGAGGGAGCACAATAAGTGAATC